CTGCCGCCACCCCTTCCCCTCCTCGGCGGCGCGCAGCAGGGGGTGGCGCAACGGGGTGCGGCGCCCTTCTAGGATGAAGAAGAAGGAGAAGAAGAACAACAACAAGAACAACAACGACAACAACGACAATCAATTTAAGACTGTTCCCTCTTACTGGCACGCGTGTTTTGCATTCTGTGCACCCCAACCCTCGATACCCGCCCACTTCATTTTCGATCGCACCCCCTTTCGGGGGGAATCTCTTCCTTGTCGGCCACTGACTGCAGGGCGAGGAACTCTCGAGCGAGAACGCCGTTCCTGAGTTCGGGGGCCTCTCTGGCCAGGCAGAAGGCCCTCGGAATACAGATTGAGAAATACCGAACGGGAAACTTGATCGCCGTGTCTGGGCCTCCACCAACATGCCTGAATTACAAGAAAATCTCGAGCGAGAGCACCACTCTTGAGTTCGGGGGCCTCTCTGGCAAGGGCGTCTGCGAATACACGTTGAGGCAGTACCCATCGGGAGCCCTTGTCGTCGCATTTGGGCCTCCACCAATTTGACTGAGTTACGAAAAAGTATCCTGAGTTCGGGGGCCTTCCTGGCCAGGGGCTCTCGGAGTAAATCGTGTGGAAGTATCGAGCAGGAGCCCTTCTCATCGTGGTTGGGCCCCCGCCAACTCGATTGAATTGCGAGGAAGTCTTGAGCGACAGCGCCGTTCCTGAGTTCGGGGGCATCTCTGGCCAGGGTGTCTCGGGGTAAATTGTGAGGAAGTATCGAGCAAGAGCCGTTGTCGTCGTACTTGGGCCTCCAAGGGACCGACTTTAGACTCAAGCGAACGCTCGCGCAGGAGCCTCGCTTTCAGAGAAAATGTGGCCGGCGTCAAGGCGAGAGCGCTCGGAACCGCTTCTGGAGATCAACAGTAATTATTCTCTAGAAGTGAGTACTCAATCATTTTAGGACTGTTCGCTCTTACTGGCACGCGTGTCTTGCATTCTGTAAACCCCAACCCTCGGTACCCGCCCACTTCGCTTTCGATCGCACCTCCTTTCGGGGGGAATATCTTCCTTGTCGGCCAGGCCACTGACTGAAGTGCGAGAAAGTCTCGAGCGAGAGTGCCGTTCCGGAATTCGGGGGCATCTCTGGCCAGGGGCTCTCAGAATACCGATGGAGAAAGATCGAACGGGAACCCTTGTCGCCGTGTCTGGACCTCCACCAACTTGCCTGAATTACGAGAAAGTCTTGAGCGAAAGCGCCGTTCCTGAGTTCGGGTGCCTTTTCGGCAGGGGACTCTCGGAGTAAATCGTGAGGAGGTATCGAGCAGGAGCCCTTGTCGTCGTGGCTGGGCCTTCTCCAACTTGATTCAAATGCGAAGAAGCCTCGAGTGACAGAACCATTCCTGAGTTCGGGGGCATCTCTGGCCAGGGTGTCTCGGGGTAAACTGTGAGGAAGTATCGAGCAAGAGCCGTTGTCGTCGTAGCTGGGCCTCCAAGGGCCCACATTTAGACTCAAGCGAACGCTCGCGCGGGAGCCTCGCTTTCAGAGAAAATGTGGCCAGTATCGAGGCGAGAGCGCGCGGATCCGTTTCTGGAGACCAACAGTAGTTATTATAAATGCACTAGGTATGAGTATTCAACAACAACAGCAGCAGCAGCAACAACAACACAAACAACAACAACAACAACAACAACAACAACAACAACAACAACAACAACAACAACAACAACAACAAAAACAACAACAACAACAACAACAACAATAACAACAACAACAACAACAACAACAATCATTTAAGACTGGGGACACTCCGTTCTCACCAGTGCCAGGGTTTTCATAGGAGGCGGGCAATACCCCCACTTTGTGGGGGGGCCGGTTCAAGCTCTACCAAGTTTCCAAACGACTCTTCGCCACCACCCACACCCAGCTTCCCGCCCTATGACGTTCGGACACTTCACTTCGTGGCCTGCGGACGACCTTGGCTACTACACTGGCGCATGGGTACAGTGACTTGTCGTGGTAACATTTTGTGGAAGCTAGCTTAGTATACGACTTTTCCCCCTGTTCCAACACTGGACACCTGTACCGTTTTCCGACGTTTTTCCGTTTCTGTACCACACAAGCGAAGCCACTTGTTTTGAGTGGTACCACGTGCGTGGCGCCAGCATACCACAGGACTTGTTTCCGTTGTTGTGAGACGATACCACCTTGCGTGGATGCATACCTTGCTAATTTGAAAGCTGTATTATACTCGATGCCCAGATGGCGGATGGCAGAGCCGTGCTGCTCCTCCAGCTCCTTGGCGCTAGAAATACTGACCTTGCCAGGCCGATACTGCACCCACCAAACCTTGCACGCCTGGTGACTGACCTGGATACCCTTTGCAACGAGCGCCTGATGCAAATAAAACGGGCTGCCGCAGTCGGCCAAGGGAGGCCGCGACAGCTCTGGGCCATACTGCTCGTCAAGGGCTTTCGCCGACAAAGCCATGACCCATCCAAGAACACAGGCGATACCTTGATCCGAGATGGCTACGGATGTGACAGTGATCAGTGATTTTGTTCGATGACGTGGTGACACACTGACTTGTTGTGGTACCATGCCGACAACGACGACGCGACGACGCGCGCATGTGTCCCGCATGATATTTTTTGCAAGGGATTGTGGCCCCTGGCAGGCGCGCGAACGCCGTTGAAAGAGCTTGCGAAAACAGCTCGCGCGAGCTCTATAACATAAATGTTGAAAAACCATTGGTTTTTAAGGATTCGGACAGCGCGCGCGGGTAGAAATTTTGAAAATTCGTACAGATGTTTTTCGAGAACCTACGGTGCGATTCGTATGATTTTATGTTGCGCGGTGCTAAAATTCCTAAGAAACCCAATGATTTTTGAAGATTTCGGCGTGCGCGCGCGAAGAAAAAACGAATGTGTCCCACATGGTATTATTTGACAGGGATGATGGCCCTGGCAGGCGCGCAACCTTTGTTGCAGAAGTTCGAAGCACGTGAAAAAGTTGCTCGCAAGAGCCCGTTTGACAGAAATGTTGAAAAAGTATTGGGTTTCCTAAGAAATCCGCAAGAGCGCGCGGGGTGAATTTTTGAAACCCTTTTTTTGAAAAACCATTGGGTTTTTCATGTTTTTATGTGAAAATCGCTACGAAGACTAAGGTTTTGGAAGGATTTCGTCTTGCGCGCGCGAATGTGCACTTCGTGTCTTTTTTTGCAAGGGATTCTTGAAGTTTGGTCATGTTAGAACAAGAAATGTCCACTTTGCCTTATTTTTTGCAAGGGAAAACCGATCGTAACAACACAACCGGATCTGGTATACCCCGTTTTGCCTGAGACTTCCTCACGAAAATGATGAAAATGTGGCTGCGGCCTAGGCGCGGCGGGGGGGGCGCGCACCAGGGGCCCCAACAATAATTATTCTTTACAATTAATAATGTTCAACAACAACAACAACAACAACAACAACAACAACAATAACAATAACAACAACGACGACGACGACGACGACGACAACGACAACGACAACGACAACAACAACCACAACCACAACCACAACCACAACCACAACCACAACCACAACCACAACCACAACCACAATCACAACCACAACCACAACCACAACCACAACGACAACGACAACGACAACGACAGCAACAACAACAACAACCGCAACAGTAACAACAACAACAACAACAACAACTATCACTTTACTCTCATGCGCGATGCTTCCACACACAGCATGCGACCATCATGATAACCATCCCCATCATGGGGGATTACTGTTCTATCGCGGGGGTCCGTTTTTCCCAGATATCCCGCCCAATGAGGTCTTGCAAACACCTCCTCCGAGGAATTTCAACATATCCCGCCTCGAAAACACATTCCCGCGCCTTGCTGCGCCGATGCGAGACCGCCAGTGGCGCCCCAGCCAAGGGTAAAGCACACGGAAGTATCGAGCGACAGGATTGCCTTGGTGGGGATGGGGGCTGTCGGCGGCGAGGCAAGGACCTGGCCCTGAATAGGAAGGGAGGAAGTCTCGAGCAGGGCTGCTGTTGTTGCTGGGAGCGGCGCCAATGCAGAAGAGAGTAGGGCGCTAGTACAGCGTGAAACAAAACGAAGTCTCGAGCGGGAGCGCTGGTTCTGTTGGGACGGCGGTTGTCGGCGGTGAGGAGGAACAGCGCCTTGAGTAAGAAGAGAAGAAAACTCGAGCGGGAGCCGCGGTTTTGTCGGGACGTGGGCTGTCGACGGCGAGGAACAGCACCGCCTTCAGGAACAAGGGAGAAGCCTCGAGCGGGAGCGTTGTTCTTGCCGAGGGCGGCGCCAATTCAAAAGAGAGATGGGCGCCAGTCCTGCGTAAAGCGGGAAGAGGTCTCGGCTGGGAGCGCTGGTTTTGTTGGGGCGGCGGTTTCCGGCGACGAGGAGGAGCACCGGCTCTGACTTTCAAAAAGGAAGTCTCGAGCGGGAGCGTTGTTCTTGCTGGGGGCGGCGCCGATGAGAGAAAGAGTAGCGCGCCAGTCCAAAGTAGAACGGGAAGAAGTCTCGAGCGGGAGCGTTGGTTTTGTTGGGGCGGCGGCTTTCGGCGGCGAGAAAGAGCACTGGCTCTGGGTAAAAAGAAGAAGTCTCGAGCGGGAGCGTTGTTGTTGTTAGGGGGCCGGTTGAAGCGCCCCCCAAACCGCTCGAGCGTGAGCCTCTTTTTCAATGAAAATGTAGCCGGCGCCAGGGCGCCTGGGGGGGGGTCCAAAAATAATATCTGTTTAGCAATTAGCGCTGAAAAACAGCAACAATCATTTTAAGACTGTTCGCTCCTATCTGCTCACATGGCAATCAATACGTATATCCCAAGCCCTCGGTACCCGCCCTCGTCGTCTTCGATCGTACCCCCTTCGGGGTATACCTTCCTTACCTGCCACGTGCATTTAGTGCAGCCCCTAAAACAAAGGAAGAGAGGAAGGGTGGAAGGGGAGGGAGAAGAATGGAGCACGAGAGAAATTGGCAGGAGGGGGGCAAGGAGCAGAAAAC